CAAGGTGGAGCCTGGGGCTGCGTCAGCTTGGCAGGCCCTGGGTTTTGGCCGCCCATAAAGTCGGTGCTTGGTCTGGGAGAGGTGAGAATCTGGCTTCCCCGCCCCGCTCTTTGTACAGAGACGCTTTGCTCGCCGCATCTGCCCTCGAGTGGCTCGGAGGTCTGGCTCAGACTCACGGAATGGTTTGGGTTGGAAGGGACCTTAAAGATCACCTGGTTCCAACCCCTGTGCCATGAGCAGGGACGTCATCCGCCAGACCAGGTACATGATCTAAGCTTCATTGTCTTCTGTTTCTTTCCATTTTTACCAAGGTTTTGAATGTTCGGTGTTCTGAGACTAGCAAGAATCGTGCTGAGTAAGAGCTGAAGATGCTTACTGTCTTCCAGGTTGGAGTAAACTGTTACTTTTTCAGTACAACATCTTATTCTACAGAATTAAGAGCGTGTCTTTAGGAAAGTGTTTCATCTGCAAACAACATCTGTCTGATCTGTACAAAAAGTATTTTCTTATTCTTTTGCATATTTTCCTACGTATCACTGTATCAGTTTCGCGTGAAAAAGGATTATAGATCCTAAAGAAACAAATTGCTGAATTCGTAGAAATGCTGAACAGCTGTGCCTTTTTTTAAGTTAAAAGTGATTTTCACCATTTCTGAATTCCTGAAAGGTATATTATGAGGATTTCAAAACTCTGCCAATTTTAAAGACAAAACTTTAACGTCCTGTGAGCAAAAGCAGAGCTGACAACAGAGGTTCAACAGAAAGAAAATGCTCCTCTGGGCTGGGCTCCGCACCGTTGCTGCGGGCGCGGAGTGCGGGCTCGCAGTTGCCCCGGCGCCGGCAGGGGAGGAGGAAGGGAGAAATCCGAACCCGAGACAGCTGAAGGAACTGGGTCAAACTTGGTGCCTTTTGCCAGTTTCTGTGGGTTTGAAGTTTGGGGTTTTCTTTTCCTCTCTGGGCGGGTTTGGTGCCGAGGTGTCGGAGCCGAAAAGGCTCGATCCACACCCGAGACCTGCTTTGGCCCCGGCTCCGGGTTGTCACCTGCGTGGGGACTGTGCCCCGCTCCGCTCGCCTGGTGACAGGAGCTGGGCTCTGCCTCGCCGGGATCAGCAGAGGACCCGCGAC